CCGTATTATTTCTTTATTGGATATTATTTTTATGTTCGAGATTTGGTTTATGCAGTGCATATATATATTCTTTGACAGGCTGCAGAACCTACTGTTGCCAAGGGCCAGGCACGGAGGCTTCATTTTTAATTATTTATCATCTTGGAAGAATGTTCAAGTTCAGTGACCACTACAATAAATCAAGATTCCGTGGACTTTGCTGGACTGTGAACACTGTTATTAACCCAAATGAAAAGGAATGTGATTTTTTTTTTCTATTTATTTTAAACTGAATGGACATTGAAATTATTTATTTTTTTGTGAATTTTATTTGTGAAATTTGTGTTAATAAATTGTTTATTAATGGTTCTTAATTTGTTTGCTTGTATCCTCAAAATTAGTAAATCTTTATGAAATGAAAAGATCTTGGCATTTACATGTGGCGACCTTGCCAGGATTCATGATTTACTCGTTTTGAGGATCAAGTTCTCGAGTAGAACCATTTTACATTTTATATTTTGTTAACAACTGTAATACTTTCAGTGCTGTAAGGCAGTACGTGGAAGTTGTTTGTTTGATGTGAAGTTGCGGGAAGGTTTCCCCTTCATGGTTTGCCGTCCTTGGGGCCCGGAGGTGAATCTCTAAAATAGGTTGGACTTCAGGTAGGGTGTGGTGCATCTTCTTGAGGGGAAGATTACTCTTCTGAAAGTCCTGGGTATTGACGTCATGTCGGTGAGTTCGGCCTGTTGAGGCCACTTTTGTTTTGTTGCTAGGTGCGAGGAAGAACTCCTCTAGTATTGATTAAACGTGTATTAGTAATTTTGAGTCGGTCGGTCAATAGTGATTCTTTTTAGTTTTTGACATTCTTGATTCTGTAATTATGGCAGATCTTAACTTTGATGTTTTAAAAGCTCAGGCTGAGGAACTAGGCCTTAAAGGAAATGATATTGCTCAGTATGTCATCAGTCAACAGACACTTGCACGGGAGGAGAGAGCAAAAGAAAGAGAATTTCAGAAAGAGCAATTAGAGGCAGAGAAAGAGAGAGTTAAACTGGAACATGAGCTTCAGATGGCTCGGTTAAACAATTCTGATAGTTCATTAAATCCTGTACTTTTTGATGGCGCTTCACGCCCTAGTTTACCAGTTTTTAAAGATGGAGAAGACATCACTTCATACTTAATTAGATTTGAGCGCATTGCTAACTTGTTAAATTTTAAAGAAGAAACTTATGCTATCAGATTGGGAAGTTTGTTAACAGGAAAGGCTGTTGATATATACACCTCACTGCCTCCAGAAACAACAGCCGATTACCAGTTATTAAAGAAAGCTCTCTTAAGGGGTTATAGTAAAACTCCCGCCAGTTACAGGAATGATTTTAGGACTGCTAAAATAAAAAGTGGTGAAACATATGAACAGTTTGCTATCAGGCTTGGACGATTGTTTGACTATTGGGTCGATTCGCATAATATCACCAAAGATTATGCATCTCTTCGTGATTTTATGTTGTTAGATCAACTAATGTCTTCTATCTCCCCAGATCTGCGTGTTTTTGTAAAGGAGCATAACGTCTCCTCCTTAGCTGATGCGGTAAGCCTGTCAGATAATTGGTCATCTGCTCATAGTGCTTACCCCAGGTCATATCAATCATCTGAACAAGGTAAGAGAAGTGTGGCTCCAAAGCCCCAAACTCCAGTCCAATCAGCTCTTAGAAGGGATTTTTCTTCTGTTAAATGTCATGGGTGTGGTGATATTGGACATATTAGATCTCGCTGTCCTAAAAATCCCCTAGCGTACAAGCAATATCACCCAATTCCAACTCACAAAGTCGGATTTTGTCTAAGTGACAGGGAAAATTCAAAGTTCATGACAGCTGGTACAGTGAATGGGGCTTGGGTATCCACAGTTCTCAGAGATACGGGGTGCACATGTGTTATTGTATCTCACAAGGTGTTACCAGATGTTGATCTCTCTAGGGCTGATCTGGTGGGGATCGAAGATTATTTAGGCCGGGTGGATTACTTCCCCAAAACTAAATGCTACCTGAATTGTCCCTATTTTAAAGGTTGGATTGATGTGGTGCGAGCACCAATTAAATTCTGTAGCGTCCTGATTGGAAATGTACCAGGGGTATATAGTCCCAAATTATCTCCAGATTCTGAAGTAACTGAACGTTCAAATGTCCCTCTTGACTATTCCTGTGCCATTCAGACTAGATCCTCCAAAAGTAAAAAGGGTTCACCCTTTAGTGTTGCCGGAGATCGAGCCTCTTAAAGTAACTCCTGAAGACTTTGCAAAATTGCAGGCAAATGTCATTCTCTCACTAAATTTTGGGAAAAAGTAAAGTCTGAAGAACATGATAAGATGCGTGATGGTACGGTGTTTAAGTTTGAGCAAATAAATGGTTTGCTGTACCGTACATGTGTTGCTTCAAAGCACTGTGAAAGAGTTGGTAAATCTTCTCTGGTAGTACCCAGTAAATGTAGAGCCATCATTCTCGCAGTAGGTCATGAGAGCCCTTAGCCGGTCATTTCTCCCATCGGAAATCAGAAATGCGTATTAGGGACCATTTCTATTGGCCAAACATGGGAGCTGAAATCCGAGACTTTTGTAAGTCTTGCGACAAGTGTCAAAGGATGTCAAGTAGAGGTAGGGTAAGACCAGTGCCATTAAAACCCATGCCCATTTTAACGGAGCCTTTCTCTCGTGTCTCCATAGACTTGGTAGGACCGATTTCTCCTCCATCTTCTGAGGGTCACCGTTATTTTAACTTTGATAGATTTTGCGACTGGGTTTCCAGAAGCATTGCCTCTCAAAGAGATAGATTCAATATCTGTAGCTGAAGCCCTTATGGTGATCTTTTCAAGGGTCGGTATTCCTCGGGAAATTTTGTCTGATCGAGGAAGGCAATTTGTTTCTCAACTAATGGGCGAACTGCATAAATTATTGGGTGTAAAGCCACTTTTTACAACTCCCTATCATCCTAGTGGGAATGGAAGGGTGGAAAGGTTTCATGCAACACTAAAAGCCTCCTTAAGGAAATTGTGTAGTGACAAACCACGAGAATGGCACCGTTATCTTGTCCCCACATTATTCGCTATGCGAGAGATTCCTAGCGATCGAACTGGGTTTTCTGCTTTTGAGCTACTTTATGGACGGACAGTCCGGGGACCTCTTTCAGTCTTAAGGGACTTGTGGGAAGACACAACCATGAGAGATGATGTTAGATCTTCCTTTCAGTATGTGATTGAATTGAAAGACAAGCTGGAGGAGTGTGCTAAAATTGCAGCTCAAAATGCTGAGATTAGTTCCTCTAAATTCAAATCTTATTTTGACTTGAAATCTCAGGATAGGAAGTTTAGTCCAGGTGAGGAAGTTCTTGTGCTCCTCCCTGATAATCAAAAAGTTGCTCATGTCTTGGAGTGGCCCTTATACTGTTCTGGAATGTCGAAATAAGGTGAATTATCTTATCGATGAAGGTGGAAAACAGAAGTTGCTTCATGCTAACCTTCTTAAGAAGTATCATAGGAGAGCAACAAGTTCCCAACCTAATGTTATGGACGAGGAAAGTAAGATAGATGCTGAAATGAACCCACAAATAGTCCAGAATTGTATTCTTGAAGATACTGAATTGAGCGATAGTAATTTTCCTCTAACTTCTGATGGAGAAGAGCCCATCTTGCCTGAGTGTGATCAACCTGAGATTTGTTCTGACCTTTCAGCAGAACAGAAATCCGATATTGATTCAGTAATTGCAGAGTTTGTAGATGTATTTTCATTAACTCCAGGTTGCACAAACACCCTTGAACATGATATTGAAGTTAACACCACAGAGCGTATAAAGTCTAAGGTTTATCCCATTCCTATACATCTAAAGCCTCACTTCGAAGATGAAGTTGACCAATTGCTTGAACAGGGATTATACAGCTATCATCATCTCCCCATTCATCTCCTGTAGTCATGGTAAAAAAGTCTGATGGTAGCTATCGTATGGCCATAGATTATCGAGCTGTTAACTCCGTAACTAATTTTCATGCTGAACCAGCTTGCACTATGGAGGAAGACTTGTACAAGTTTTCAGGATGTAATTACTTCTCTGAATTAGATCTTACGAAGGCTTACTATCAAGTTAAACTTTCTGAGAAGGCCAGACCTTTAACAGCATTTCCTTCACACAGGGTCTTATGGAGTTTTGTCGTATGCCTTTCGGATTGGTAAATGCTTGTGCCACTTATATCCGCCTTATGCGCATTGTTTTGGCTGGTTTAAAGAATGTTTCCTTCTATTTTGACAATATTTTCATCCATACTAAAACATGGGATGAACATAAAGATGCAATTGTTTCAGTGTTAAAGAGATTACGTGAACATAACCTCACTGCAAAGCCATCAAAATGCAGATTTGGCTTTAAGTCTATTGAGTACTTGGGTTTTATTCTTGATGGAAACTACTTGCATCCTAAACTCGATAAAATAGAAGCTATACTTAATCTACCTCCTCCTTGCACAAAGAAGACCTTAAGATCTTTCCTTGGTTTGATTTCATTCTATAGAATGTTTATTCCACAAGCAGCTTCACTGACAAGCTCTTTATCTGATTTGTTGCGTAAAAATGTCAGGGAACCACTGAAATGGACGGACGAATTGACTGAAGTATTTGAACAGTTAAAAGCTGCATTAGCTTCCAAACCCGTATTAAAGTTACCTGATTCTTCCCATCCTTTTGTCTTACGAACAGATTCATCAGATGTTGGGCTTGGAGCTGTTCTTCTACAGTACGTCGATGGTCATCCATTTCCTGTGGCGTACGCTAGTCGGAAACTATTAGATAGAGAGAAGAGGTACTCAACTATTGAGAAAGAAGGCTTGGCTATAATGTTCGGTATCCACCGATTTAGATATTACCTAATGGGTCAAGAATTTATCCTGGAAGTGGATCACAAGCCATTAATTTATATCAATAAATTCAAGGGGTCGAATAACAGACTTTTACGGTGGTCGTTAAGCTTGCAACCTTATCGTTTCCGTTTGGTTCACGTTGCAGGGCGTGATAATCTTGGAGCGGATCTCCTTAGTCGTTCCGGAAATTAATTACACTTGAAGTCTGGAACTCTCATTTTCATATAGTTTTGTTGAAAGAAATCACTAATTTCTAATTTACCACGTTTCACAGTTAATTTGATAGTATTTTCAGTCTTGTTTTTTTTTAATAAATGATTTCATGTTCGTAGTATCAGCAGTTTTGAAGTTATTTCACTTTGATGTGTACACCACGTACTTTTGAGTTACACTACAGTTCCACTCGCTGAAATGTAGAAAATTCACTGATTAAGTTAGAGTAACCAACCAGATTTGATTTGTATTTAGTAATACAATATTGACGATTGTTTCTTTTATGATTTCAACACGCATACTCACTTCTCATTATGAAGTGAACCAGTTATTTTGGAGGACGAATAAAAACTGAGAGCGTGCTACCTCTTTGTTTACATTTTATAGCTTCTCCCTGTTAGGTTTGATTTAACTTCTCCCTGCCAAAGGTCCCATTCTTTAGAAGAAAACTGATTATTTTAGAGGTCCAACTGTTATGATTGTGTCTGGTTACTAACTAAAGTGGAAAGCTGGTTTAGTTTCTATTTTTTTTGCCTCATTGGTTTGTATCTATCTATTGGATAGATACTTGTTGGGGGAGCCGTGTGAAGAAATTCGGCTATTTTTGTTTTTCTTAATTTGTTTCGCTCGCCTGTATACGTGGCGAGCGAAATGCTTCGTGCGAATCCTGTAGTCGAATCCGGGTTCGCTCGGGAACCTTGGTGTGGGGTTGTGGGTACAAGGGGTCCTCACTCGACCCGACCACTGCCGTGAGGTGAGGTGCTTTCCCCGTATTATTTCTTTATTGGATATTTATGTTCGAGATTTGGTTTATGCAGTGCATATATATATTCTTTGACAGGCTGCAGAACCTACTGTTGCCAAGGGCCAGGCACGGAGGCTTCATTTTTAATTATTATTTATCATCTTGGAAGAATGTTCAAGTTCAGTGACCACTACAATAAATCAAGATTCCGTGGACTTTGCTGGACTGTGAACACTGTTATTAACCCAAATGAAAAGGAATGTGATTTTTTTTTCTATTTATTTTTGAACTGAATGGACATTGAAATTATTTATTTTTTGTGAATTTTAGTTTTGTGAATAAATTGTTTATTAATGGTTCTTAATTTGTTTACTTGTATCCTCAAATTAGTAAATCTTTATGAAATGAAAAGATCTTGGCATTTACAAATGACAATGTTAATAGTAATGACAATAACAATAATGATGATGAAAATAAGGATATCAATTTTAACAATGATTATGATAATGATAACGATAAAAATATATAATGATTGCTATTTTAATGATACTACTGATAACATAATAGAATCATAATACTTATATATAATACTGGTAACATAATGTAATATCATGACACTAATGATAACTACTGGTAACTGGTTATGGCGTCAATAATTATAGTAAAATTAGCGTCACTTACCTTTCCCATGACTTTAGAAAATCATCTGCCTGTATTTTTGTTTTTTCTTCAGGATTTGAGGAAAAGGCGCCTGTTCTCTGACTGGTGTGTTCAGATATAAACGTATTTTTTTCCTGGGAGACAAATGTTCTGTAGATTGTCAACGACTGTCATCCGATAGCATTTCTGACAATTTCTCAATTTGTATAAATGTTTCTATTATAATGGTATTTGATGGTTGGTCCTGTAAGTAACGAAAACCGTTTATTTTGCGTAAATCACTTTTTTTTTTCTTCTGTTCTACTGCATCCTCCACATCCACATTATACGTGCTACCCGACCCTACCATTCATTAATAGTTTTGCTAAAAAAATACGTTCATTAATTTTGAGAAAAAGAAAATAGTATCGTTATAGCTAAAAACATGAGTCAAATATTCTATTCAGTGTCTACTGTATACTGTAGCCGATGATATGAAGAATGATATGACTCACTGATAAAATGTATTGACTAAAAAATCCCACTGAACGACTAGCTAGTTGCTCCCACACTAACTGTCTTGTGCAGCGGAGCACGTGTTTTATACTCTCTCTCTTCGCGCCGCGTCCCTTTCGTCTGGCAGCCCTGTTTGTTATTGTTGCAAGAACCGTAGTGCAGTTATCGTACAGACTGCAGGTAGGTTTCATTTCACGCAAAAAAATGTATATGCTTGTATATCCTACTAAGCAATCAATATGCGGAACCTAACTTAAATATGTGCAAATGTTGAGATTACTAAAACACTAAAAGTGTATTTTTTGGGCATACGCTACATCGGGCTGATTTTGGCAAGTAACGTTTACCATATTTTAGAAAACGGATTTTTCTTTTATTCATTATCAACATTATCATCTCCAAGAGAGATTTACATTAGTAAAAAAGGAGAAAAAAATACGAGAAGAACCCTATGATTGAGGATAAAAATTTAAGATATATAATACAATGATGTGTTATATTACGAAACTGCG